TAAATGTTTGGATATGCTGTCCAATCCAAGTAATCCCTTAGTAGCTCAGAGACAATAGCCATAAATGGGCTAGCGAGGGCCAGATCATTTTGAGGAATAAATCTGCGCATGCGCTTTGTAAATAGTTGTATAGTTTACCTTCTGTTTTTAATTTTGGCCTACAGAATTTACCCACCTGCCGCTCAAAATGACCCTGCTCAACTTGTTTACTATAGACAGGGTGAAATGCGTCATTGTCCTGTTGGATATCGAAAGTGTTGTAGTTGACGTTTCCAAGGTTTTCATGAATCAAAATCACCTACGTCTACCATATTCCTTATGTAATTGTCTTTCATTGACGGCCTCATTTTGGATAACTGCCTTTTTTGCTCTTAAGAGGAAGGTCTTTCAGGAAATGCCCAGCTTTCTCGAAATCGGTTTTATGATATAGGGGTACGTGCATGGAACACAGAACTGTAGTTCATTTTTCCTGAGCGGCCCTCTGAATACCAAAAAAGGAGATGAAGTGGTTCGAATCCTCGCAGTGACAATTTTTTGCATTTTGTGTTGGCGTTTCAAAATTCGCGAAAAATAGCGTCAGCGGAAACAACTTATGTCATATCTATAATTAGGACCATCAGCAACCTTTATACGTAGACTTTGGCTAAAAAAAACTGGTGAAGAAGTTAAGAACGGCAGCTCCTCAAAAATTTTTTCTTCGCCCCTTTTTAGAGCATCTAGATTTTAGAGCAATTTAGAGCATCGCTCAGGAAAAATAGAACCACAGCCTTGTGTTCCATGCTCGTACCTCTATATCATGCAAAAAACCGTTTCGGGAAAGCTGGGCATTTCCTGAAAGACCTTCCCTTCTTCTGTTACTTCTGTTACTTCGAAGATAATTTATCTACGAAAATTTTAATGAATTTCACCTGTGAATTGCACATTGACTGGATAGTAAGCATTAAATTCTTCTGGCAAGAACATCACTTGAACTGAATCTATCGCTTGATTTTGATTTTTGTTGCATCTAGTTACACCAATAATTGTTGTACATATAACTCGAATATTTTTATTAATAAATCTACACGAGTTGTTATGTGCAGAGCTTACTTCAACGAAGACTCGATTGGTGTTGTTTCGTTTCGATGATCACTCTGGAGATATTCTGTAATCAGGAGTACCGCTTGACAAATACTGTGCCATAGCGTGATAACGCTGCCAGGTTGAGGTTATGCATGTTGTAGCTTCTGAAATAATTCCCAAAGATTATAGTGCTCAATTTCTACGAGTACCTGACAGGAGGCCCGTCGTGCGGCAAGAAGGCAAAGTCAGCGGACGAATCGCAGCGCGTGATATGCGACATATTAGCCAATGTCAGACTTTGCGAATCATCGCGTACAGCGCATCGAGCCAACTGCTCTACGCAATGCGCCCGCGGACGCTAGCGCATCGCTCGATTCGCAAAGTCTGACATCGGCCTTACGTACAATAGTAAATCCTATTTAAAGGCACAACCCAGGCAGAGGTCGTGTGAACTCTTCTCTTCGGTCAGAAGTATAGAACCCTAGAGGACAATCACAAATGTGGCGTTCCGTGCACGGAAACCACCGACAAGAGCGCTTGGGCCTTGCAAAGTAAGCTGCTGAAGCTGCAGTTCTCTTATCAGGCTGTTGTCTGGCGCTCTCTCATCTGTAGCGCTCTCTCGCCCCATACTCTCCTCTTCGCGCTTAGTCTCTCGTTCCCTTAGCACAGCCAATTAGGAAGGTGAGTGAGCCCTCAACCTGAGCGTTTTCGACGGATTCTTTTCCTTTTTTCTTCACTGCCGGCCCACTTGGCACCGATTAGCATTTCACATTCGTGTGAAAGAGCCACACCAGTGCGATCCTGGGGCATGCCTTTAACTTGACGTAAAAGCACTTTATAGTACACGCTGCGACTCGTCCACTGACTCTGCCTTTTCGCCGCGTGACGGGTCTCCTGTCGGGTACCCAATTTTTACATTGCTGAATTACTGGTGATGTTCGTGCGATTTGTGACCCATCCCTTACGAAAGGCTTCTTAAATAGAAGCCTTTTCTCACGGTTTTTCGTACTATGTTGGGTTGGAGCATAATATCATAGCGCTCACATTCGGCACATACGTTTGAAACAAACAAACAAAGCTAATTAGTGATATTTTCTTTGCCATGTTTACAATTTCGATTCCGCAATTCCGCAATTTTAATTCCAAATCGTATTCGTAATGAGAAAAAAGAAGATGTTGAGCGCCCACTTTTCCCGAGAGTCCTCCTTACACCATTTTGTAAACATAAATATAGTCTCGCAATTGTGGGGAGAAAAAGCAAAAAGGTAATGGTTGACTAGAGCGATGATTACGAATGGTGATAACAACTCCCGCCCTTGACAGATTCTGGTCTCATGTAAATCAAGTCATGTAAATCACAGACTAGCAGCTGTCGAAATGTCGATTTTTTCCGTACGGATTTTCCAACTTCAAAGCCCTACGTCTAAGTTCACTTAAAAACACTGAAGAAAATAACGAACATTGTATTGTGGAGCGGAAAAGGTGCCTTCATCTGATATGCACTGCTTTCCGGGTTATGTTTGTATAGGTTGGACTTTAAGCTCTACGACGGTGATGACAAATTACAATGTTTCAAAGGCAGTAAAGGAGTGATTGGTTGAAGCCAAAGGCGGAATCACTTCTTCTGATCCCCCTCCTC